TTCTTTTTTAAACACATTTCTTGGAAGGCAACATTTCATCCTTTTTCCAAAGCTTTATTGCTTATGGTTTCTGTAAAACAGATGCCCAGTTTTGTATTAAAAAGGAACAGTCAGGTCCAAATAGCAAACAGCACTGTGATAATCTTGTTAATCTTAAAATAGTCCTGGTATTTTATGTGTTTTGCTCATCCAAGAGGCATTTTTCATATTGTATTGCTCTGTGAATATCAGCCGTTTAGAATCGACTGATAGTATGCTGCATTGGATTTTCAAGTACAAGTCGAGATAACGGGGAGGCATAGTGGTGAGTTGATTAGTAAGGCTGTCTCACAGCTCTTGGTTTCCAGATGAGGTGCCTAGTGTAGATTCGGGGGTTTCCATGTAGTGTACCAGCCAAGGCAAGAGCCATGAGTTTCCAAGGTGTCAACTTCCCTATGTACCTGTGTACAGTATGTGTCCTGTGATAAACAGGTTCCCTTTGTGGGGTGTAGCCCTGGTGAGTGCTCTGTGATTCTGGAAAAGGCTCTGGATTGCTGTGATACAGTAGCTTTCTGATAATGGATGGAGGAAGTCTATGTATTGCCCATGTACATGTATATTACCAGAATAACCAATATTTGTTTTCTTTTTTTCACTTTCAGTTGATTTTATAGGAGGGTTTGATTCTTATGGTTATCAGGGTCCACAGAAGACATCACATTTGCAACTACAGCCAATGTATATGTAAGTATAGCTTTTTTAAAAACTTTAATACACTTTCATTTCTAATAACAAATAATACACTGTAAACCTTTGCCATGTCTCTCTAAAGGTAACAAAAGGTTCAGCACGATTTAAGGAGGAATGTGTTTTTTTTTCTCCTGATTTATAAATAATAAGTAGATATTTATTTGCTTAAGAAATTATAAATGAGAAATACAGCACGTAAACAAATGCAAGATGCAGTAGCGTCAATTATTGTAAAAGATTAAAAATGCAAAGATTCAAAAGTAACAGTGAGATGTGGGTAATGTTAATTGATTTATTGGACTTCAGTTTATATATTGTTTTATATAATCATGAATTGATAACATTTCTTTTGAATCACAAAGTCTGTACATAGATTTTCATTTCTTGTAACTAAACATAGGCATAGAACCAACAATAGGCTTTAGCTCCAGATTTAAATGCTTTATTCAGATTGAAGCTTTACATGTAAATGTATTGTACAATAAAGGTTTTATGGGCTTGATTGACAATGTCTCTTTACATGCAACCTGGAGGACTGGGATATAGCTTTCTGAGCTTTTTATAAATGGCTTTATAAAGTTATAAATAAAATTCTCCAATATTTGGGACCCTGTCAGTAACAAAGGAAAAGATACTTGGGCTGTTTTTGTGTTAAGTTACGCCTTAGACCAGCATCAACGAACTTAATGTTAGCCTGTCAATGTTACAGAGATCTGAAAGAATAAGAAAGAAATAAGAAATAAGAATAAGAAACTGAGATGGTTACAGTAATTCTAAAATACCAAGACACTTGTCTGTTGATTGGTAGAAGTTTATCATATTCAAGGGATTGTTTATTTTTTACAAGCACCGCAAATGTTATATATACTGTATGTAAGTGACCAACGTCCCATGTTTATGTTTTCTTTTCCCAAATTAAACATAGGGAGAAAAAGCGAAATGAACACAGCCCGTTACGATAAGGTAAGCAAATAAGTCAACGTCTAGGTCCAAGTTTCTGGTTTTCCTCGAAATATGTTTGCTAAGTGTCTGTCCTTCGTGGCGGGGGGAAGGGAGACCTCTTGATTGCTTGTTTTTTTAATGAATCTGAAATTGCATCGCATTTGGAGTGCCTCTCTGTTGGGGTCTCAGTATCACCCCGTGGTGCACCAGCAAATCCATCAATGTGTCATTCCAACCATATGCTCTAGAAAACAGTGGCCTAAGGCCATATGAGCTGCCAGTCTGCAAAGTGGACCTATCATGGCAGTAAAACTGAATTTGGCATTCCCTGTACTTAAATAGTGAAAAACTGCAGAAGTGATCCTGTCTCTCTTTGTGAGACAGTTATGTGTAAAGGATCTTTCATGATGTTTAGATGGACCAGCACCATGCTGCAGGGCCAAACCCTTGGTGCATTTCTGATTAGGGTTCAACCTGGATGAAATTAGTTTGACTTAAATCTCCACATTCTGTGGTCCTCTTTAGTCAAGAGTGTGAGAATAATGATGAGTTTAAATTGACTGTACATTCAAAAAATGGTAAGCAAAATATCTCAGAATATTGCTACTATCAGGCAAATCAGATAAAATGTACCGTACAATGTACAGTACTTTATGTAGAGACACTATATCTTGTAGGAATTGATAAGTGCTTTAAAACACCTTGTGAAATACTGATATTTTATTATCATTTTCTTTTTCTTTCTTTAGGTCAATGTAACCAAGAATACTGCCTTATGAACAAATCAAAGAATAGCAACCTTCTGTTTTTTTTCTTTTTCATAGATGTCTTAAAATGATACAGTGTCTTATGAACTGGTTTAAAGAAGAAAGCGAAATTAGAGTCTGTGGGGGTTTTTTTACCTGAAAGACTAAAATGCACTGGACTCTCCTCAACAAACACACTAGTAGCAAGTTACCGAATTGGCTTGAGAAGTTGTGACATAAGACACAAGAGCGCCCTCTTTTGGTGCATTTCTATGGAAGTATTCATCTCCCAGCTGATATTTGCTTCTTTACAACTGACAAGTAACCAGAATAAATATACTTTTAACAGTATTAACACTAATCAACTTTTGCAAGAGATCAGATTTTCAACAAAGAAGATTTTTACATACTTGACTGGCACTGCAGCATAGGCCAGGATTTTACAGAAAATATTTGGTGTTTTTTACGGGTCCCAGATACCATAAAAGTTCTATATCTGCTTAATGGCAAGATCACAGGGTTGTGGCTCATAATCTAAAACACATTATAAGGATCATGACAGAACAGAAAGGAATTTTGTATTTCTATTTCACCAATTTTCGTACGATATTTTGAGAGTGGTAAGTAGGAGTGTCACATTTCCTTTAGTGTCTAATAATTAGTGGATATGCATTCTGCAATGGATTATGTTATAGAAGTTAAAGTGAATATTGAAACAATCAATAATTCGATAAATTCAACAGTATTAAAATCCTCTTGGTTGAAAATCGTAATCCTTGATAAATGTTTTAATTCAATTAGACAAAACAGGCCTTATATTCCAAATGCTTAAATCTCTATTATCAACAAGGTTTTATATACCTAAGTGTTTTGGATATAGAGATCAAATTTTAATTTCATCGTTGTAGCTCAACACACTGTAGAACTTCCAAGATCAAAGTTGACAAGGGAGAGCAGCTTAATAGCTGTGATAATGGATGTCTTGTAAGCAGTGTTTTGAGTTAAAAAGCAAAGATAATTTTTTAAGGGGACTGCCTGCATTTTATTTATACTTTTTATTTCAGTTTCAGTTTGCAGCAGTTAAAATCCTTTACACAACAATTTTACTTATTTGAAATGACAAATTATGTTGCTTATTTAACTTTAACATTTTAATTAAATGAATTTGAATTGAATCTAATTAAGATATAAAGGATATGGACAAGCGTGTTGAAATTAAATGTACTTTTTTTTTAAGTGAGCACTAAGACATCTTATGGAAAGACAAATGGAAAAAATGTTGTAGATTTCTATAAACCTAGGGCCATTTTTACCATGTGTAACAGTGTTTACTTTTTTATAGTTCATTTATAATTTGTTATATTGTGTAAGTGGGCCTTTTTTCTTACAACTGTATAAAGGAAAACAAAAATATTTGTAATGGTCCTTTACTAATAGTGTGATGTTAGGAGGGAAAGTGATATGTGATAGAGTTTGGATTTTATCTTATATGTACAGTATGTGCTGTGGCTGAAAGTTGTGCTTTGTGTAGTGGGTGCCACGACAACATGAAGAACCCTTGAGCAGCTCTGTGCATTCGTAGGGACATTGTGCTTTTCTTTGCCTCAAGGGATTTCTTATTCAAAAAGGTTTACATTTATCCCTTCTCCGTGACTTAAAAGTCAGGTAACCATTGCATTTTCAAACTTGACAATGGCAATTAGTAACCAGCAATTTGAAATGTAATCAAAAGCTTTCCTTTACAGTGTTAAAGGAGCAAAGTGGTGTTGCATTTGTAGAGCACGAGAATAACTTTATTCCTAATTAAAATCAGTCAATTGCAATTCCTTAGCCTTTATTTCCTGACACGAATTAATTTGCTGCTAAGGAACAACATAAAAAGATGCTTTTTATTGAAAGGAAAGAGTTTTCTTTGTGATCCAAGCAATATGTTCACCAGGGTCATACTGTACTTGAGTTGGTTCTTAGGACATTTATTGAAAGTCTTTCTATAAGTTAATCATAATCTAAGAGGTAATTTAAAGTTTGGGACACTTGGTCACTAACTGTAAATGCCTAACATATCTTTTCATGTTTGCTGATGCAAATATGGCACCTAAAAACAATATATTTGTATTTTGGTATGTATATTCCTATAAAGGATATATTTATACACATAAACAAAATTCAGAAATACTAGCCATGAGTAAATACTGTAAAAGATGGCAATGTGGGTTCTATTTTTTTTCTTAACATTCCAAATAACATTTGTTATTCCTTTCTCAAATGGGTGCTTAACATCTGTGACTGTAAAGACCAACCCATGGAGTTGTTCAATTCGATAAGAAGGCTGTATGTGTCCACAGTTCAGTGCAGCCCAATGTTTACATCGTAGGTCCAAGCTTGCTGTCTTAAGAGAAGACTCTAGGATGAGCAACAGCAGTGCACACAGTAGACTGGACCATCAATCACAAGCCAAGACACTGTTTAGCAATAAATGTATTCATTAGAAGAGTTGAATATGTTCATATACATGTAAACTCTGAAGTTTTTGGTATGTCAAAAATGTTTCCCTAATATTCATGCAGTTAGTACAGTTTGACATTATAAAATGTTGTGGGGGTAAAAACCCATCATGCACCCTTGGCAACAAACATTCGCTACTGTCCTGAGATGGTTCTTGGTGCTAGACGCACATTTTTAGGATTAGCCCCTTCAAAATGGAACAGATATCAAGGCCATACAGATAATTTATTTTAAATAAAATGAGACAAATAGCAAAAGCGATACAAAACAGAATTTAACATTAAGGGGTTTGAGTTGGGAGCTGCATCAACATGTGTTGGCTGCTAAGGAGCAAATATGGGTTTATTCCACACTAAGAAAGGAGAAAGAATCACAGCATTTCAGCCGCGAAACCTTGTTCCCTTGGAGATCTTCTTCACCTGAAGGTCAGGCCGTCTTCGCCTGAAGAGGGCTCCACAGCCAAAATGTTGTGTTTCTTCTTTCTACTTTTCAGCCTGGAATCAGCCTTTGCTTGTTCATCTACCACTTACTCCCTGAGTTTTAAGGCAGTGTAACCCAGATTTGTAAATTGTAAGCTACATCATTCAATGTTTGCAGTGCTCTAAAAGCATACAAAACTATTGCAAAAATATCCGTGCATGAAATCACCCCTGAAGTATCTTAGAAAACAAACGTGTCTCACCTGAAAGAAATGCAAGACACAGTTGCCACCTCCTGCACTCTCTCTGTATTCAGTGGTTATATTACTTTGTAAATACAATAATATGAATTCTGAACCAGTTCTGATATGTTGTGAGGTATACCAAATGTTGTATGGGTCTGAATTCGGCTTTTTAATTTGCATATGGCAAACTATATTTATGAAAATGTATTTCAACCTTTAAAGAAAGCCTTGTGATATCAAGCAGCAACCTGTCTAGAAGCTTCCTTCCCATGCCAGTGGTTTTGCTTGGGTTCAGCGCGATCTTCTATTTTTAATTAGGTTTAGCTATTTTTCTATTTCTGTTACTTTTTAAAACTACTGTATATAAAGTATAATAAACTGAGACTGTGAAGATGCTAATTGTCCTGTTTGTTTCTATTCTGAAATGTCCTGGTTTGTTACTGCATATACTTCATTTCTGGTTATATACTGCACATAACAAGACAGATAAAGTTGACAAACAGGTCAAATGGTCAAAGAAACTAAAATATTAAGTGTAGAATTTTTTTAGAGCTCTTTGTTAAGCATCTCTAACATCTGATTAAAAGCCAATTTTTCATTAATAAAACAAATAATAGTAATCTAAGCTTAATATTTGGAGTTTTGGAAAAGAGGCTGTCCATTGTAATGATTGTGATAGGGCTCATGGACTCTTATGGTGACATACTGTATGACAGGATAATCCCCAGGATAGGAGACATACTGTAGGAAGCATAAGAATGTTTTCAAACAAGAAGACGCTATTTAGCTCATATAACTCATTTGGTTCCTGATAGCAAATTTAATTATGGGTGTCATTTGCTTCTTGAAAGAAACAAGGGTTTCAGCTTCAACAAATACTCTATATTCTTCCAACCTCCCACCACAAAAAATTGTTTATAATCTACTTAAATTTGGAGTGCACTGCTATGACATTACAGATTAGTTTCTTTAAGAAGACATCTGATATTGGGCACATGTATATCAGTGTTATGGTGGCATCTTTGTAGTGAAATAGTTAAGACAAATAATTTTGAATGTTCCTGCATTGTCACATACAGTATGATTTGGATCATAACCAAAGATGAAGCACATATTATGAATTTGTAAAAAACAATAACAAACAAAAACATACAGTAAATATGCATAAATATGTGTTATTTCCTTTTAAGATGTATACAGTATTACAATATTCGTTAATTTTAACACAGGCACAGATAACATAAAAGAAAGATATAAGAAAATGTAAAGACAAATGAAACACTGCAGATCATAATGCATTATTTTTAGAAATGTGCACAAATATATTGCTTATTAATTTCTTAAAAGTTTCCATCTCTCTTTGGTGAATTAGTGTGCCGCACACTGTTGTCAGGGTGCCACTTTGGAAAGCAGCTTTGTGTAATAATGAAAACAACTGAAAATCCTGACCCACAAAATGAGGTATTCAGGTTTATTTCTAGATGACTGATTTGATTTCAGACCCACTGAAATACACCAGGACAATCACTGTAACAGGTAACATTTAATGGAAGCATTTATTATCAAGTGAGTGCTTGGAGTATTCAGAGTTGTGTCTCTCGCAAGAAAAAGTGCGTATCATGACTGAACCATGACTTGAGTCATTGATGCCTGTTATAACTATTTAATCGGACATCTTATTTCACCACAAGACAAAACTGGTTAAGTCACAATTTGCATAATACAACCAATGAAATGCCATTCTTAACACTAGCTCATAGCAGTGGAGAATGAACAGTTAAATGACATGCTTGAGCACATGACTAAAACACTCCTGACATTCTGTTTTGACTTGTATTAGTACTGATTTTGACAAGAGTAGTGAAAATATGCATGTGTTATAATAAGAGATTTGGGATGTATATTTTATCTCATTGTTACTTAGTACATCTTACTTTTAGAAGTGTACAAATATCAAAGTGTACTAAATAACCTAATGTGGTGGAGAGTTAATTGGGAACAGTGGTAAATTAATTTAACCTGTTGTTTGTCAAGCCTAACAGTTTTCCTGTAAATGGATATTAGTCTTGTCTCAAGAGACCTCTGGGAGAGCGTTGTCAAAGGTCTTTGAATAATGTCTTGTTTCCATGTGTACAGTACAATTGGCAGGACACAGTCAGACCCTAGAGCTTTTTTTATCTCAAGTGTTTGTAGTATCTGTGAACATCTGTCCCTTCTCTGTTGATATGATTTAATATACAGTAAACAGCCTGAGGCATGTTGGATGATTACTCCTTAGTAAATACCTGAGTGACTTATTCATTTAATACATCAGCCATTCCCCTGTCATCCTCTAAACAATTCCTATCTTTATCTCTGAGACACTTTACTTCATCCTTAAAATAAATCATCCATAAATGTTTACTTATTTTTACTTCAATCGCAGTACATTTTACAATCATTGATCATTTTTCTACCTGTGCTTGCAGTTTATTATATGCCTTTGAGTCAACTGTATTTGTTCTTCATCGAATGCTCTATAAAATGTTTTTCTCTTTATATTCTTCTTAACTGATTTAATTAACCATT